CTGCTGGGACTGTAGGCTCACAGCCCCGGGGGCTGGGGCAAGGGCAGAGGGGGCAGCAGAGCTGCGGCGCCATGGAAACGCACACTTCTCTCGCCGGACACTCAACAAAACTTGCAGTAGCGAAGCTGCAAGGACACTCCTGTCGCTGCAGAGATGCCAAGGAGTGCTAGCTGCTCAGCCATGGCAGACTGGCTACTACACCAAAGAATTCAGATTCAAGAAGACAGGTTTTCCAAGGGCTGGAGATGCTCTTGCTTTCTTTCATTGACTTTTTGGGTCTTTGACAGCCTTCCTCAGCTGCTTTCAAGCTGTTTAGCTGCCACTCTCCTGAGTGGGCTGGGGATAAGAGTTATTGTTGGTCCAGGGCTTGGCAACCTTGGTAGCACGCTGCTGATGCTAAAGCAGACATGGATGGGCTTGTTGATTTAAAATCCCAAGGAGTGTCTGGAGGAAGGTGCCCGCCGGTCCAAACCACAGCTCTTTGGGAAGCCTGGCATGCTTGGGGAGCGGGCCCTGCCCTGGATACCCCCACTGAGGTTGTCACTGCAGCCCTCTGACTCTGCTGGGGCAGTTTCTGGTCGCTGTGTCCCTTGGCTGAGCGTGACGGGGGACACGTCACCTTCTGCATACTCCGCAGAGCAGCGTCATCCCGCACCCCGCAAAGCTGCCGCGCTTGGGGCTTTCGCCAGCGCTGTGCATGTGCCCCTGGGCAGGACTCCTGCCCCGCACCCTGTCCCTCCGCGCAGGGGACATCTCTGCTGGGAACCTTCCCTCTCTCAGGCTGGCGGCGGGACGCTGTGTGCCGTGGTCCTGGCACAGGGCAGGCGTGGAATTTTGTCTCATTTGTGCCTCCTGGAAAAGGGTGACCGAAAGCTGCCACCGCCGGCACAGTCATCCCAAGGGATGGCACTGCTTCAGGGAGGCCAGGGCTCGGTGTATCCCCGCTCCCACGCCCGTTTCTCCATCCCACCTCTCTCTGTTCTTCCCTCAGTGCTTCAGGCCACCTGTGTATGCCAAGGCCTGGTCCCCATCCCTCTGGGACACGCAGTGCGGGCGAGGGGGGCCGGGGGGCGCTGCCCTCTCCCCTGAGCTCTGACTTGACAGACAAGAGATCGTCGTTTTATTTTTGTTATTAACCTCTCTGTGCCTCAATACCCCGTTTGGGAAAAAAAAAAAGGGGATGGGCCCAGATCCGAAAAGCGGTCTGGGAGCTCTGCATGCAGAGGGGCTACGCTTTCCTGGGGATCGCTGTGGCC